GTCATCTCTTTAATACTTATGTTTTTACCCGCATTATCGCGAGGAATTTTAAGGCCCCTATACAGCCACGAAACATATCATTGTCCGCATCTCTATACTCATTGAAATGGCGCTCTTTGGCCATCAATTGGCCCTTGCGCCATAAAACACCACACATCATCATTATTCGCGACATCGTTCGTGAAGAGCTGCACGGGCGCTGCTCTTCCTGTGCTGCGGAAGTTACTTCACCTCCTGAAAAAGATAGCTTGCGAGACCTGATTAAACAAGAGATCGCCTCCGCATCGCGTGCGACGTGTTCCAACAGTCCCTGCGTGCGCCAGACGTGCACGTACGCCGAAGTTGCCGCGCTCTCTGCCGTACCCACCGTTTCTGTGCCTACAACAGCAGACCATACGCCTGTGGCTTCGTTATCACCGCCAGTGCGTGCACCACCTTACTACGCACCTCAGCGCCCACCTCGGCCAACCTGTTACTACTGCGGCTATCGAGGACATATCGCTCGGTTTTGTCGAAGGCGCCAACAAGACAAGCAACGGGGCTACGCTCCCGAAGAACATCGAAGCTTCCGTCCGACCATGAACTACTTACGGCCACCCCCCCGATCGTCCTATTACCGTTCACCGTCACCTACTTACCATACGGACATGCCTGGGAATTCCCGTACGTCTCGCCGCAGGTCGCCTTCGCCAGGTCGCCGTTCAGTGTCGCCTCTACGAACCCGCCTCCCATTCCACGAACGCCCACGCGGAAAACTCCCCGATGCAGTTTTAGAAGGGGAAACTGCATCCCTGGACAGCTAACAATTCCTCCAGAGCGGCCATCGAATTCGATAGTAGTGTTTGTAGAAGGTGTACGTGTTGAGGCTCTTGTAGACACTGGCGCTGCCGTTTCGATTATTCGTGCTGATTTTTGTTCCCGCCTTCGAAAAGTCACCACACCTTATGGCGGCCCACCTCTACGTGCGGCGACCAACACTCTCATTCGTCCACTTGCACAGTGTACCGTTCGTGTCTGCATAGAAGGCATTCGTCATCACATTGTTTTCGCGGTATTTCGTGAGTGCACCCACGCTCTCATTCTTGGGTGGGATTTCTTGTCTTCTGCGTCCGCTTTCATATCATGTGATCAGTGTCTCCTGCATCTAAACGCCACTGACTCTTCTCCGCTTGAACAAGATGGACGCATCCGCCTTGTCACCAAGTCAGATATTGTACTTCGGCGATACATCGAAGAAATTATAAGTGTTAATTGCACCGACATTGTGGATGGCGACGTACTAATTCTCCCTTACGGTCATACCCTACGTAAGGGCATTGTGATCACACCGGGGCTTATTCGCTTCTTTGATGGGTGTACGTACCTAACCGCCATAAATCAAACGCCCGAGTGTGTACTGCTCCCCTGTGGCTCAACAGTATCTCTCGCGGTCGACAGTAGAGCCTGTTGCGATTGTTACTCTTCCGAACAACAACCACAACGATGTTCCGAAGTCGCAATCATTGCCATTCAATGCCTCTGCCACACCTGTGTCGGCGACAATAAGCAATGACTTAACACCTGATCAAACTGAAGATTTGCTCGCCCTGTTAAATAGACACCGTTCTCTATTTGACGTGAACTCGCCCGCCCTCAGCATGACTACCACCGCTACTCACAGCATCCAGACTGACGGCTCTCGTATTGTACATCGGCGTCCATATCGCGTGTCTCAGGCAGAACGCAAGATCATCGAGGAAAACGTCTCAGACATGCTACGGCGCAACATCATACGTCCTTCCTCGAGTCCCTGGTCATGCCCAGTTGTTCTCGTTCAAAAGAAAGATGGGACAGTGCGTTTCTGCGTCGATTACCGTGCGCTAAACAAAATAACGCGCAAGGATGTTTATCTCCTCCCTCGGATCGACGATGCACTGGATTCATTACAGGGCGCAGAGTATTTTTCCAGCCTCGACCTTAGGTCAGGCTACTGGCATATACCAATGTCGGAGTCTGATAAAGAGAAGACCGCCTTTTCAACGCCAGATGGGTTGTACGAGTTCAATGTGATGCCTTTTGGACTCTGTAATGCGCCCGCCACCTTCGAACGCATGATAGACACGGCGTATTGCGTGGTTTGAAATGGAAAACATGTCTGTGCTATCTCGATGACATAGTAGTGTTTTCATCCACGTTCTCGCAGCATCTACAACGTCTTGACGAAGTCCTCACATGCCTTGCAAAAGCCGGTCTACAACTTAACACCAAGAAATGTACCTTTGCTAGCAAGACAATCAAGGTTCTCGGCTATCTTGTCAGCAAAGAAGGAATTCGGCCCGACCCCGAGAAGCTTGCCGCTGTCCTCGATTTTCCTCGTCCACTACGTCAGAAGGACCTGCGCAGCTTTCTATGGTTATCTTCTTACTTCCGGCGCTTCATACGTGGTTTCGCGGAACTTGCGTCTCCGCTCCATCAACTCCTCGCAAAGAACGTCCCCTTCATTTGGTCCGAAGACTGCGAAAGCGCTTTCACGGCATTGAAGCAAGCCCTCACGTCGGATCCGGTACTGTGCCACTTCGATTCCACCGCACCCACCATCCTTCACACCGACGCAAGTAGTCATGGTCTCGGTGCGGTACTCTTGCAGCGTGACAAAAACTCACGCGAACGCGTCGTTGCTTACGCAAGTCGTGCTCTTACCGCTCCAGAAAAGAACTACACTATCACAGAGCAGGAGTGCCTTGCTGTTGTTTGGGCAGTGCAAAGATTCCGACCATATCTTCACGGCCGTCATTTTACCGTCGTGACCGACCATAACGCCCTATGCTGGCTTTTATCGCTGAAAAACTTATCGGGTCGCCTTGGTCGCTGGGCGCTTCGCTTACAGGAGTATGATTTCGATGTCACCTACAGATCTGGGAAGAAGCATCAAGATGCTGATGCTCTATCGCGCTGTCCTTTGCCCAGCGGAAGCAATTCACCATCGATACTCCAAAACAACAGCACCTCTCCAATTGCAGCGCTAAGTTCATCACCTGCCACCCTATCCGTCCTTGTTTCACTACAACGTGTCGACCCATACTGCCGCACCATTGTTGACCGCTTGACCGGCTCTACTACTCCTCCAAACGCCAGACTCCGTCGACAACTTGAAAAATTTAAGCTTGTCAGTGATGCTTTATGTTGCTACGTTTACCACATCGATGGCAACAAGTGGGTACCCGTCATCCCACGTTCTCTGCAACGTGAAGTTCTGGAAGCCTTTCATGATGATCCAACCGCTGCTCATCTAGGCTACCACAAGACTTACGACAAAATACGAAGTCGTTGTTTTTGGCCTGGCCTCTCTTCAGCCGTCGCTAAGTACGTCGCCTCCTGTGTCCATTGCCAACGGCGAAAACGACCGACAACTGCTCCGGCTGGCTTAATGCAACCTCTTCCTTGTCCCGCCTCACCTTTTAAAGTCGTTGGAATCGACTTGTATGGCCCTCTTCCCATATCATCCAATGGGAATCGCTGGATTGTCACGGCAGTCGACCACCTTACCCGCTACGCAGAAACAGCTTCTATACCATCTGGGACTGCCACTGAGATCGCCGATTTCTTTCTTCACCACATCTTTTTGCGTCATGGAGCTCCACGCATTCTCCTCAGTGATCGTGGCAAAGTCTTCCTATCTTCCATTGTCGAGCAAGTTTTGCGTGCCTCGAACACTGTTCACAAGACCACTTCTAGCTACCACCCACAGACCAACGGACTGACTGAACGGTTTCATCGGACCCTATCGGACATGATCGCCATGTACATTCACCCCAACCACACGAACTGGGATGCAGTTCTACCCTTCGTGACATTCGCCTATAATACGGCTGCTCAACCCACTACCGGCTTTTCTCCATTTTTTCTCGTCCATGGTCGCTCGCCGAGTTTCGCTCTAAATGTCTCTTTCCTTTCGGCCCCTGCACCCTCGACGGCTCCTTTCTCTGAAGAATTCCTATCTCGTCTCGCACACTGCCGTCACCAGGCCCGTGTTAACACCGGCCTCTCTCAAGACACTCGAAAATCTCGCTACGACTCGTCTCGTCGTGTTGTGAGTTTTTCCCCTGGTGACGAAGTTCTTCTATGGACTCCACTACGCGTCCCCGGCCTATGCGACAAATTCATCAGTCGCTTCATTGGCCCATACACGGTGGTCGAACAGACATCTCCTGTCAATTACCGCGTTTCTCCTCTTAGCGCTAGTCCTGATCATCGTTGCCGAGGAACAGAGATAGTGCACGTATCTCGTTTAAAGCCTTATGCGCGACACATTTCATAATACTGTCAAGCGACCAGGCGGCCGCTTTCACCGCGCGGGGGAATTAGTGTGAGCGCGACAAGCGAATGACTCTTTATTTTCTTTGTAATCATCATCACCTGTACATCTTCTTCATCTAAGAATATCATCACCGGCGTGATTGAGCTCGAGCCTGGCCGAATAAACCGGTTCCTCACAATACGTATGTATTGGTTCCTCTGCTAGAAAATACATAGATACGTAGTTCCTCTACTAGAAATACATAGATACAAAGACTTTGTTGTTTCTTATGCTGCACTGAAAATGCGGCGCTATGCACAAAATGCTCTTTGCCAACGATATGGTGCTGCCACTTAGGATGGGAATGTTACGAGAACAGCATCATGAGTGGCTGTGGATGAGACCAGTCCTCATGTAGTACAGCCTGCAGAAGGCTATCGTCTTCTAGTAACATTTGCAGGGAACCATGCAGATATGTGGCCAATATTATTTTCATTTATGGTGTTTTTTAAATGGCTCTTGCATTTACTTATTGAGTTTCCTTGTTGAAATGTATTCGCTACTTCTACTCCAAATATAGCTCCTGAAAAACTATTTTCTCCTGGAGTTCGGTCTAGGATTTTGAATCTTATCTTCAGATGCGTGACTTTGTGTCATATCACCTGCCTCGCCCTTGAGAACTGGTTGCATGCAAGAGATGTAAAGCCTCTTCATGTGTCTGCAGGCCAAGGCTAAGGGTGTGGAGCACCTGATTGAGGTGCAGAACCCAAACAGAGTCGAGAAGAAGCCCAAGAAGGTAGCCGAGCTGAACGAGATCATGGAAGAGGCACCACAGCTTTCGCGGAGGGAGCGGTGAGTACAGCTCTCTTTGCACCACTGTTATGCGATATTTGTCTGTGTGCCAAGTTTGCGAAACAGTAGTCCTGAAAACAATGATTGAGGGGCCAGAATTCGTTACATTAATTGAAAGAGATGTTCGTGAGCAGCAATACAGACCGGCAGGGGTGGGGGAAAAAAGGTACTTCTAGACAATGTAAAACAGCATGAAGCACCGAACAAAAGGACAGTGGCGGACCAAGCATCATCTTACAGCTACAGCTTCATTCCGTATGAAGAAACACACACACACACACACACAGTAAAATCTCTTTTTTAAAGTTTTTAGATGAACTACATTATAAAAAATATGCCGTGATTCGATGTTATGCGAACAGTTTCCCCAGCAACGGCGGATGATACAAGCGTGCAATTGACTGCTGCACGCGAGCAGCGCAACAAGGCTTGTCTGTGGGAGCAAGGCCCGTTCACACTTGGTCTTGAAGGGAGTGAGTGCGGCAAAACTCACCGGACTTTTTTTTGCTTCACCGTCAGAAAAGTGCCCGAAAACCATGGTGTGAGGCCAACCCGGAAAAAAAAAAAATCTACCAGAGACAAATTTTGCTGCCACGCCACAGTGGATCGCCTTTCTGCTATTAATTTGGCTTCATCGGCGACACTAGCTCTCAAACCACGTGATGTAAACAATCAGCCACACATTCAACATGACAGCAAAGGCGTCGGCAGTGGCTCGCGTTGACACAATCGTGTGAACTACCCGCGTAGCACGACAAAGCTCACAGCCTTGAAAAAGATGTGTTCATAGGGAGCCAGGTTTGAATTATGAATGCTGCGCACACAAGAAGTAGTAGGCGGTGCAGCAGCAGCAAGCCAAGATGCCCTATGTGTCTCGCTTTTGCACTGACGGCTGAATCGTGAATTCGTCGCCGCCGCTTCCGGTGTCTCAGCTCGTGTCGTTTCTTCTGACGTATTTCCCGATGCAACATTTGTAAAGGTGTCAACTGTTTTTTTTTTCAATGCTTTGTTTGCATAACTAGAACTCCATTCGGATCTTAATGGTCAGGAATAAATTCTCAGGCGGTGGCATGTATATGAGGGGCAGAACTAATGTGAACATTTTCAACGGGTGTGGACGTGGTTTTTTGGCCGCTCTGGCGTTTTTGGTTAAATTTTCAGCACTGACATTTTTCGTGACGACTTCACGGCGCGTTTTTCCGCGGCAAAGAGTGAATATTCATCAAGTTTCGTCGCTTTCAAATGTGAACGCCCTTTATTTATTGTGAGGCGTCGAAAGCAGGAAAGTTAAAAAAAATATCATGGACCTCATTTCAGCAAGTAGTAGTTGACCCCAATAAAGTTCTTGTTCATCTTCATGATCGGCTTTAAGTTGTTTTTGGTTCATTCGAATTCAGGATGATACGAATATTTTGCGTGCTATCTTCGGATTCATATAATTGAGATTATACTATATATATACACTGTACGCATAATCTGCGCACTCGCATAACACGCGCATCTAGTTTGGTCTCGAAAAATTCGATTTTTGAATTCCGCGCATAATAGGTGCACCTCTAACTTGGCTGTCATCAGAAACGATTCTACTCCGAGCGGTACAGTGGGAACGCGGTCCCCATACCCTGAAGAAAAAAAGAAGGCAAATCGACGAGTAAGTGAAAGAAATTCGAAGTGCAACAACCTAACCAACGTGTTTTTCTAAATAAAGCTTGAGAAAGAAAAATAAAGCTTGAGAAATAAAGCTTGAGAAAGAAAAATGGCTGTTTCATCAATTATAAACCTCGTGATAACGAGACGGGCTATAACGAAATAATGGATATAACAAGCAAATCCTAATTCCCCTTGAAAGTCCCCATACAAACCAATGTATTCAAAACCTCGTTTTAACAAGGCAAAATTTGCCTGTTATGGGATATAACGAACAAATTTTGTTGGGAAGTAATATTTTGAGCCGATGTCACGACAGTGCACAACGCGAATTTGAGACGGCGCGCAACGCGAGAACTGTATTTAGCAGTTCAAAACTCCCGCCACGCGCCCTCCGGCAATGCGCGCAAAGCAGACGGCACACACTGTTTCCGGAGGAGAGGTCGCTGCACATGCGCCCCTTGGCTACCACCGACAGCGGAGCGCTCCGCAGCTCCGCGAACGTCTCGCCCTTTTCTTTTCTTTTGTGTCTTCATTATATTCTCCCTCTCCCCTTTCTCATGGTGCTGAGGCGCGCTTCCTAATCTTACATACCCCCTTCCCCTTGAGTAACCGGTTCCTAGAGGGCAGCGCAAAAGAGCGCCCCTTCTGCCCCTTCCTCTTCACAGTCACTTTCTCTGCAAGTGTTGTCGCTTGCCGACGCGAGCCGCGTTGCTTTTGCGTGCGTGTTTCTTCTCTTTTTCGACCCCTTCCGCCTTATCTTTTATCGCGCTGCGCTCGTGATTCCAGCAACATGAATGCGCCAGACGGGAAGCGAAAGCGCATAACGCTAGATCAGAAGGTGGCTATGATAAGAGCCGTCGAATCGGGGACCAAGAAAGGCAACGTGGCAAGAGATTTTGGCGTATCGACGAGCACACTGTCAACCATCTTGAGCAAGCAGGAGTCCATCATCGATGCTGTTGCAGGTGGCGTGAAAGGAAGCGCTAAGAGGATGAGGGCACCTGCCTTTGAAACGGTCGAAAGGGCCGTTTTTAAATGGTTCTTGGACACGCGAGCCGTGAATCTGCCGGTGAGCGGCGCCTTGCTGCAAAGAAAAGCGAGAGACTTTGCCTGCATCATGGGCTATGGCAACTTCGTAGCAAGTTCGGGTTGGCTCCAACGCTTCAAGGAGCGCCACGACATTGTCGGGAGAGCGGTCTGCGGCGAATCGCAATCTGTCGACGAAGCAGAGGCTACCAAGTGGGCGAAAGAAAACATCGTGCGGCTGCTAGAAAAATACAGCGCGGAGGATATTTTTAACGCGGACGAAACCGCTCTCTTTTTCAAGATGTTGCCGCACAAGACGTTAGCCCTCAAAGGCGAGCCGTGCCATGGTGGCAAACAAAGTAAGCTGCGGATCACTGCGCTACTTTGTGCAAATATGACCGGCTCTGAGAAGCTGCCAATTTTCGTAATTGGCAAAAGTGCATCCCCTCGCTGCTTTAAAGGGAAGAGGCAGCTCCCAGTCAAGTACGTAGCCAATCGCAAAGCCTGGATGACCAGGGAGATTTTTTCAAAATGGCTTTGCGAATGGGACGAGAAGCTGGCAAAGGCGAACCGCAAGGCGTGCCTTGTTTTTAGATAACTGCACCGCCCACCATACCGCTGCCGTGCTTCAAAACATCGAGCTGCTGTTCCTTCCTGCCAACTGCACAGCAAAAATACAGCCGCTTGACCAAGGCGTGATTATGTCGCTGAAGGCAGGTTACCGCAAGCGTGTGATAGACTAGCTCCTGCTCAACATGAGGACGAAGCGAGACACCGATGTAACTTGTACGCTGCACTCGAAATGCTTCAGGCGGCGTGGATGAGTGCGATGGCGACCATGATCGCAAACTGCTTTCGACATGCCTCATTTGCCGCCGTACCAGACGCCAGCGATGAGCCATCAGACGAGCCCACTGTGCCGGACGGTTTTGCCACATCAGACGAAGTCGCTGCATCATGAACGGCACTTCGTGACGCCGGTGTCGTGCCTGACAGCGAGTCGTTTTGCGACTATGTGAGTGCGGACTCGGAAGTGGTGGCAACAGAGCAGCTCATGGATGACTATATTGTGCGCGCTGTCAGTGATCGTAACGAAACCAGTGACGATGACTCTGTCGACGAACAGGAGACAAACGTGCCGACGACGTCGGAGGCATTAGACGCGGTGGACGTACTGCGCCGCTACTCTGGCGTTCACGAGGGCGGCGAAGATGGCTTGAACATTGCGGCCGCAGCTGAGCGAGCCATCGTTCGCATCAGGAAGATGCATCAACGTCCAATTACGGATTTCTTTGCAGCTAAGTCTGCCTGAAATGCAGGCTGTGTATTTTGAAGTGCATTAAAACAGGTGCATGACTTTTTCCTTTTTATTTGGTAATGCGATTATTTTGTTGCATACCACCGTGCGGCGGGATGCTATTTCGCCCGCTATTTTTTTGGGGTAAGTACCATGCATAATATTTGCGGTAAGTGCCCGCTACGGCTATAACGAAATATTGGTTATAACGAGTAAATAGCGGCAGCCCTCCAATTTTGTTATAACGAGTTTTAACTGTACTGATACTCCCCAAATTGCCCCGCTCCTTGGAGGTCACGTGTACAACGCCGGAGGCTCGATTGCCATCACCACCATCAGAGAAAAAGAAACGCCATTTTGCAAGCAATGTGCGTTTGTTGTGGCCGTGTATTCAACTATTGGATCCACCAGTTAGCAAGCTACACGGCTGTATTTAAACTGAAGGCAGTGCAGTACGCACTGGAGCTTGACAACCGGGCTGCAAGCAGGCATTTCGGTGTTGGAGAAACCAGTATGCAGTACTGGAGGGATCAAGAAGAAAAACTTAAGGCATCGAAGAAGACACGACAAGCTTTTCGTGGTGCCAAGACCGGCAGGTATCTGAACGTCGAAGAGCAACTGGTCCGGCATATACGGGAGCTATAAGAAGATGGCTGTGCTGTGTCATTGGATATTGTGCAGACTGAGGCGCGCAGAATAGCCCGAGCGCAGCGCATCGAAGCAAAAGAGTTCAAAGTCGGTCCGGATGGACAACTCATTTCATGTGGCACCATGTCGTCACACTGCGAAGGCGCACCACCTTGTGCCAGTGCTTGCCCGCAGCATATGAGGACAAAGTGGTGGAATCCCACCATTTCGTTATTAAGCTCCGAGAGCAGAAAGACTTCATTTTGTCCCTGATCGGCAAAGCTGATGACCCCCCTTTGCTTTGATATGCCATGGAACACGGCAATGGAGGAGAAAGGTGCATGAAGTGTCATCGTCAGAACAACGGGCGCTGATAAACAAGGATGCACCGTAATGCTGA